CATAAAACTGACTGGGATACTGTAGGGCACTTGAGCTCCCAGAGTGTGTGAGGATACTCTAAACAAATTTTGGTCACATTGAAAACTATTAATAATTGCAGCCGATGATATTTCCCTGACCAAAAGTTTCATCTCTTAAATTCCAGAGTGCATTTTCATCAGTGTTTCACCAGGTAGCCAAGACATTAGCTTTCGTAGCAAACTTTCGGCCATACCAACCCATTTTTTTTTATTTTTTTTGCCGTGCGTGGCAGACCGAACAGCCCGGCCCGCGTCGCGTACCAAAACCACTATGGCACACGCCTCTTAGCTGAAGACCCCTCGATGCCGAGTGAACTTGTAGAACGGTTTCTTCCGTGTCTCCCTTTTTCTAGCATTAATACGACAGAAGCTCGAACTGACTGTTGGCGCCTTCTTGGCGCCGCAATACCTCCCACCCCCGTCAGTCGGCAACCCTGTCCGTAAAGAGACTCGATAAATCGAGCACCTGTCCGCCCAGGATTGCCAACTTCTTGGCGCGGGAAAATGGGATTCTCCGCGCAGCCAGGCATATTCGAACCCACGGTACACATTATTCTTCCGATTGGCAGGTTGTGGGGCCATTGTTGCATTGTTTCCACCAATTTGTCCGTGTCACATAACAATATGACAGGGAGTTTTCTAACCATAGAACGTTAGTAAAGGTAGGATTTTTTCAAAAGCGCAGTGCTGCATGTAAAACAACATCTATTTTTCAGATATCACTTACACTGGAAACGTAAGTGTGTGAATGTCACACACTTGCAAGTGTGTGAAAAGTGTGTGAATATCCATTCGTACACTCAGAGGGGTAAAGGTGTGAATTTTTCCTAGAAAATTTCCTGCATTTCCAGTGTATGCACAGAGAACAAATTGCATTTCCAGTCTATCAAAGGTCGTCGTATAAACGCGGGCCATTAAATACTTCCAAGCGCGTGCGCGTTCTGGGTCAGCCTCGTCCTTTTCGCCGGGAAATATCACGACCACAACTTTATCAGCCGGATTTCTCTCGCTTTCCAGTCGGCATATCTCACAACACACGGGAGGGAGGTGTAGTGACAGGGGCCGGGTGACGGTACGAGGTCGAGGACGACGGTAATGCATTGGGAGGGTATGCGTAGGAGCCCGTGCGTAGACAGGTCCATCAAGGGTCGGCCTATCTCTGATGCCCTCTGACATAACAGTGAGCACACGGAGAGCTCCCAAAGCCGGGTGAGGCCGCCGCCGTGCCGCCTAGGCCGCAGGCGTGAGAACGGCCCCGCGGTCAGCGGTAACATCGACTCACCTCAGCGCGAGAGATCGATTAGTAAAAGTTTGTGTGAATGAGCCGCTTGGTCAGCCGTTTGGATTTTCACGTGAAGAGTTTGCGCCATTTATTCGCTTAAATGTAGCGTGCTTTAAAGCTAAGGCAGTCGCTGTAGAATTCCTACAAAGCCTTAGGGACCATCCAGAAAGTAAGTCCGTCATTCGAGTTT